TGCTATGGAGTTGACCAGTGTTTCCTGTTTGCATTTTAACTCCTTTATGTCAATTTCTTTGATCCTGTTACTTGCACACCCTTTAAGACTACTTTAAACAGCTGTTGTGCCACCTGTCCTTCCAATTATATTTAATATGTATATGAAATACTTGACATGTCAGTCTTCTAATAACCAATCACCAAGTAATTAAACATCTCCTGAGCTCCCACATCACTTTCCATTAAGGGCCAGTATAGGTAGGACCCTTGGCAGTTAGTCTCTTGGTTGGTACTCCCCCAATTTCCTTGGAATGTGGGAAGTGTTTCTGTTGGTCTAAATTATGTAAAGTGCACTCAGATGCTAGAATGACAGTGCCTAAAGACTCTAATCATCATCAACAAGAGTCCACAATTTTCACCTGTTGAAAGAAACACATTTCCTGCAGTGACATTGCCTGTCTAGAAACCTGAAAGTAAAACAGTTTAATATCATACTGTGCATATTTATAGGGACATGGAAGGTTAGGTTTTTATCAATCATTTTTGATAAAAACAATGAACACTGTTTTGTTGATTTACCCCAATCCCCTGCAGTGTTTATAACCCAACCTCAACAGTACTGGGTTACTGTCCTAGATCTGGAAGGTGAAAACTAAAACATAAAAATGAGATAGAGTAGGACTATTAAATTTAACCTGCTTCAGAAACTAAGTGCCCTGATTCCAACATGTCAGTCAGCTCCCCGCAAAACAAAGATGGCAGGAAAACAAAGCCTGCTACTCAGACGCTGGTTGTTTTCAGGTGGGGTGGGTAATCTAGCAGTAATGAGCATCCAATAAAAATTTAGCATTCCTACAGCACACCTTCAAAACTTCTACATAAACTTTAATATAGTGTCTCAACACTCCTGAGAGGTAGGGATGGGTTACCCTCATTTTACAGATGGAAACCAAAACAGAAAAAAAGATACATGAGCCTCACAAACAGTCTGTGCAAGAGCCATGACTACAGTTCAGCAATGTGTATTTCCTAATCCCATGCTCACACCATTACACCATGCTGCTTCCCAAATTCCTCCCGAGCCCATTTGCTCCTTTCTTGTAAGCATGCACAGAATCAAAGCAAACTAGAATTCAATACCTTGTGTGCCTTGCTACCTGTCCCAATTCATACTAACGTAGCAGACAGGCAGAGCACAGGGATAATACAACTTGCACACCTTCCAGTAAACTGAAGCACAGAAAACTTTGCTAGTGTTCTTTTAAATAATGCTTATCAAAGGTCGGGGATTATACAAAAGTTTAATTCACAGGTACTGAGTTTTAAGCATAGCACATGCTGCAAGACTGCTCTTATATCTGGCAACATATGTGAAGGGCTTCAAAATTAAGGAGTGGGTGTGTGTGAAAACTATGCTGATTGACCCTCCAGAGGGTGTGTGTGTGTGTGTGTGTAAACAATGAGACAAAGCTGAAAAAGGGGAAAAAAAAACATATGAGCATCAGGAGACTATTTTTAGCAATAATTTATTTAGGCTCTGGAAGAGTGCCCCAAGGCAAACAGAATCCCCACTGCTGAAATTATTCAAACATATGCTTGAAAATGTGCTGCATTGGCAGTGGAAGGACTGGCCTTTTCCCATTTCTAAAATGTATGATTCAGTAAGTAGCACATAGGTATGCAGTGTGCATCTGATCACGGAGGGTGCGTTTCAATTTACTATGAAGCCAGCAGTAGTGGCAGCAAGTACATCTCATAGTAAATTACTCATGTATTTCTCAGCAAGTTACTTGTGTACTTCTCATATGTTTCCATAAATACCTGAAGACGTAACAGATTTTAGATTAGAACACTGTGGGTTGTTTTACATATTTGTAATGCAGTGTTCGTCCTTTTGGTTATGCAGTTTATGGCTCACTGTATTTCATAAGATGGTATAATACTAAACAGCAATTAAATTATGGGATATATGTGCCTGTCCCACACTAATTATATTCTTAACTAAATCTCACAATAAACCTGTCTCATCAAAAAGCTAGAATTGAAATTAAAATCTGACCACTAAAAATGGTGATTTCTTCAAAGTTGTGCAAACACTTGTGTGCAGGCCTGAGATAGGCAGGAACAACCCAAAACACATGTACACATATGTAGGTGTCTGTGTGCAAACCTCAATTTGTCTGTGCACTCTCAGTATGTACGTGCTTAAGATGGTCTCAGACCGTCTTGGCTTTCACTTTCCAGGAACTGCTATATATTTTCCTTTTCAGTCCATCTGAGGCTACAACTACACCATGGTATAGGGGTGCAATTTCCAGCTTGCATACATACTCAGTGAGAGTTAGCATGAGTTATAAACAGCATAGCCATGGTAGCATGGGCAGGAGCAGCACAGCTTAGACATGCTGAGTACAAACTCATGTGTGCCTACTCAGCATGGATGCCGCCTGTACTCATGAGGCTACTCTACTATTTATAATCATGCTAGCTCTCCCCAAGCTGGGAGCTGGGAGCTACGAGCTGGGAATCACACCCCCAGCCTGTAGTGTAGATGTAGCCTAAATGTGCAATGAATAAAAATTCCCAAACCATTCTCAGCATCCTGGAACCGTCTTTCTTCTCCCTCCCCTAAATGAAAGACAAACAAGTCTGTTTTTCCAGTTTTGCATTCTTAAGATTTTAGATTTTGGTTTAAACCCATGTTTTAAACCAGAAAACTCATCAATATCAAGGTTGAATACACTGGTAAGTTTATTTTAAACATTTCGATAAAACAAAGACATTTTACACCATGTGTCAATTTCATACTTCTAATTGTTCTGCATTAGCCAATGATGCATAAGATAACCTAGATGGTCTTTCCCATCTCTAATGTCTCTAATCTCTAATACAAAGGAGTAGCATGACACGAAGAGGCACAAAAAAAGGGGAACAGTACAAATATATGGCAAGACACCTAGAAACTTGATTTCTGGCATTAGTGAAGTTAATATACCTGTTAAATGTTCAGCTTCCCTTTTGAATATAAGCCTTACAGGTTCCCTAAAGGACCTCACCAGTTAAACATTCCTGCGCTGTTAACACATGCTCACATTAGCAAAAGCCATACCGTTCGCATAGTTTTCGCAAGCAGTGTGGGCACAAGTCCCCAGCCCTCCCACCCCCTGAGAACCATGTAAATCTCCTAAAGTGGTCTACAACCCAATGTTATAACATGAACAGAAAGTAAAAGCCCTGGTTAGGGAAACCATGCTAACAGCAGCAATTAACATTTGTTGGAGAACACTTTTAAATGTGGGGACGATGAGATCAAGAAGGTGCAAGTACAAGGAAATGCGAGACTGAAAAACTCTTGTAGAAGCACAGGCAGTTTCAGACAGAGCCACTGTTCATGAGACTCTCAGGTCACGTTAAATAAATAGAGTAATTTAAAAAGGTGTCTTCTCTTTCTCCTCCTATTTCAAAATAGGATTGGCTTTTGTTCAGGTTTCAGTCCAACAAGGTTCTAGGGATTCAGGTAAACAACCAACCCCAATAAAATCATTTGAAAAAGACAGAGGAAGATTTTTATAAGCCCCACAAAAGGCTGCAGTAAAGTTCCATCCTGGCTAGGAAAACTGCAAGGGAAAACATTTTGAATTGACACACCATTAGGGAAATGACTTCTTTAACAGACTTTAGGGATGGTAGCCCAGAATTAAGAGCTCCTTCCAAGTCAGCTTCAGGAAAGAGGATTTTGGAATGGAGGTAAATGAGAAGCCTAACACTTGAGCGGTAATACCACCTACTAAAATATATTTATAAAGGCCAAATGAAGAGGTTTTTTGTTTTACACACCAAATAATGAAATGAAAATGTTTAAATGCATCAGGAAATAATATTACTCTGGTGGCATAGTCTTGGAAGATCACCTATGTTGTGTGGCATTCACATCAAATCAGCAGCTAGCGTATTTCTTGGTATACATTTAATGTGTTCTCTGAATTAGCATCTGGAATTGAAGAGATTTGTTCCCATACATTTTCAGGAACTTAGGGGAAGATACTAGTAATATTAAAATCAAACACATTTATCTCATCATGTGAGGCTTTCATTTAAATACTGAGTAAAATCATCCAGAAGTGTCCCTTGATGATGGTTTCACAGAAAAGTGACTGCCAAATACATTCATAAACGGTCTTCAGGATAGCTTGGGAGCTGCACATGAACCATTAGCAAGTACAGAAAAGACATCTGAAATAGTCAATGAAAGGCCAAGTGAAATTGAGTGAACCTTCTCCACAAGGTTGTACCTTGGATCTTAGAGTAGCCATTAATGGCAACAAAGCATCATGTCTCCAGACAGATTTTTTAAAAACATGTCTTTTTCAGCCCCCATCTCACTGTGGATTTTTTATTTATTTATTTTTTAAATAAAAGAACTAGAAATCCAGGAACACTTACTGTAGGTCCTGCATGAACAAATAAATGATCATGTAGTGTAGTAAGAGTGCATTATGGAGCATTTCTAAAAAGTAAATGTCATTTAAAATCTATTATTCAAGCCTGGAAGTACTGGATTAAAAAATAAAACTATAATAGACAATAGTCCCTACCAGAACCTATAGCTTTAAAAGAAAGATCTCACAATTCTTGTCTGAAGAACTTAAATGAGTATATAAGGGGGCTAAGAGTAACACACTAGTTGTAGCGGTAAAATGACATGGAGAGACATGGATTCAACCCACATAACATAGAAAACGAGGGGTTAGGTTGCTGTGAAGGCAGCATGTGCTCTGTACTTAATGGCAGCCCCTCTAGTAACATAAGTAGCCCTGAATTAGCTCTGAATGGAGTATTATTCTCTTTCCCAGAGAAGATGTGCCTCAATGCTAGTCCTTGCTGGGAGAGAGGAGTATAAACAGAGGAAAATGGGATGATTCTTGGGAAAGAATATAGTGGTCTTGAACTCCAGTAAACAGCCTTACAGGCAGAGTGCACTCTATGTCACTTTTTGGCCATTTTTCAGCAGCTGCTTACCACTGCATACAGAAGAGGTGATGTTGTACACAAAAGGACAAAACTGCAGACAGCGGATCAACTTCAGGCTGCTCTCACACTCCTGACACTTTGTAGTTAAATCCAGCGCATGCCTGAAGGCTTGCAAGGCTTTGCTGATATTCTTCAGAGCCAGATAGGCATTTCCTAAACTCAAGAAAGTCAGGGGCTGCAAAGAGAAAAGCAATCTTGTATCAGCACAACAAATGTGTTTTGGGTTCAAAACCGAAAGTAAGCTATTGCAATAGACCAAGTCTCATTCCCTCCACACTCCCAAATCAGCGAGAAGGGTTTTAAAACCAATAATTAGTTGGACATACTGACTGTGCTTAGAATTTCAGGTTTTTAAAATGATACATAAATCTGACATATACCCACAAGTATAACATAAACCACTTATTTACAGCCCATCTTAAACATGGCACATTCTACATATGGCAGCAAAGAACGTGAAGTGAAATGTTTTAGGGGAGTTTTTAGTGAGGAGCCAAGAAGTCTAAAGCAAAAAGGTATCACATAACATGAGATTTAATATGGGACGGGAGGGCCAACTAGTCTTTTGCCAGTCCAAGCTTATTGTTCTCCAGAAAATAAATAATTAAATTACTCAGAGCTCCAATTTCACACTAGCTTAGGATGTGTGTCTTTCAGCCCATTGTTCAATTCTTTGCAGTAGTAAGCAGACACTCTTACTCATAACTTTGACTATCCAAGAGCAATCTCTTGCATCAGAGACAAAAGACATTGTAATGATTCTTCAAAACTAACTGACATGCATTTTAGATATCATCCAGTGATTTAAGTCCTGGCACACAATGAAGCATTACACTTTGTTTTCAAAAGCATCTTTATGGTTTATGCAGAGAAATTAAGTGCTGCATCTAACCCTGTGACCAGAATAATGACCACGCTCACGCAACAGAGCAGCCAATGTCCTCCACTAAATGATACTCCTTGTCATGGAACTTTTAAGACTAGTCATGGCTTTCAAAAATTTTGCTTCTTGTATTAAAAACATGCTTCAGAAGAGTGTGTGCTTTTAACAATCTGATGATGCAATTAAGTCACAAGATACTAATTCATGTCCAGAGAGTTAATTCAAATTTGAGTTCAGTCTGATGCTCCAGCCAACCTTAGTCAGCCAGTTTATTGGATTCTTCTTCTTATGACCTCCCATCATGTGTTTGATACCTTCATTTGGTGGTACTACTTCTTGGGTGCCTTTGGTAATTCATTGTACCTCATTCATTCATACAAGCCCCAAATCATCCTGCCCTATTGTTAAATCATACCTTCTTGTTCACATTATCTTTCCCTTACACACCAGAGAATCCCCTTTAAATGCCAACTCTAATCTATCCACTGTCTGGTTAGCATTGTTAATACAAGGCTTTTGTGGTAAATTAACTGACATCACTATAGCACGGCACACTCAAGTTTGATTGCAATACTCTCAGTCTTGAACTGCTGTAGAGTTTTGCCAAAGGTACTAGAAGAACCTTTGGAAGAAACTCCTGCCAGTGAAACCTGTTTCTAAATACCATGAGTATTGTCACTCCCTCCCTCCAATTTCCTAATTCAATTATTTCATCATTCATCCCTTGCTTTCTTGTGATCCTCTTTTTTCATACACTTATCTGCGATCTAAACTGGTTAGATTCCTTTTCAGACGGTTGCAAAATTGCTGCTAGCTCTTCTATTAAAAATACCCCGATGCTACGCAGCTGATTCTAGTTTTGCCCTCCCAACTTATTTTAAAGTGAATTTAGTGCGGGAGGGGCTGACGACCCTGGAGATTCAAGTCCTTTGTCCAAATAAAAGGGACAGCATGGGCAGAAGCAACCAAATCTAATTGTGCAACCATTAGCTTCCCATACTACTGCTGAAGTGCCTCAATTCTCGGCCCCAAATATGATGGGGGAAGGAGGAATTGTGATCTGGACTCTTGTCCCCGGGGAACTGGAGTGAGACAAACTCATTTCACTTAGGGTTGTTTTTGTTTAAGACTTACACAACTTTTTCTGGCCAATCCAGTAGTTATATACATCTCTTATTACAAGCAGAAAAGTTGCAAACATGGTCTAACTATATTTAAAAAGAGAATTGAATACCAATGTTTTCCCCAAGAAAATTTTCTTCAAATCATTTACAGGCTACAAAGTATTTTACAAAATTTAGAAATATAACATAACTTTGTACCAGGCATATTTATAGTTAATGAGAAGTAAAGTTAATCAAAATATTTGCAAAGATACAACAGCTTTTGCAATAGTCTATTCCCACAAGATATCACAAGCAGCATTAAAAAAAATGCAAAGAAAGGAACGTAAAATGCATGAGATTAATCAAGAAAACAACGGAATCATTCAGGCAGCAGAGATGGGTGTGTGTTATGAAGGGATATCTAGATAGCCAAGAGACTATTTTTGCACACTACTTCTTTTGGAACACCTATTGATCTGCAGTAATCCAGTTTTGCACTGTCTCCCCACATTTCTGAAAGGCATGTTATTTATCTTTATATCTATCTACCCATTATGTAGGGGGCAGCAGATTCCAATTTAACTCTTGGGCACAGCTAAGTGATGACTAATATTCAGGCCATGGCTACACAAACACTGTACGGCAAGCCGTGGTGTAGTGCCAAGCACTAACTGTCTGCATGTTCTCTAAAACCCTGTTGTTGTTCTCTAAAAGCTTTCTAGTGTGCATTGACGTACTGTTTGAATGCGCAGTAGGGAACTTTTGGTGCACAGTACCTGAGTCCATGCAGTTAATGTATGGCATGCTGGAGTGCTGTAGATTTACACCCCAGCTTGTTGTGCAGTAAGTGTTTAGGTAGACGCACACGTAGATTTCCAAACCTAATTCTGCAACCATCAGTTTCCAAAAGGAGAGGATACAGTCTCATACTTTTCATTTCTCTTGCATCTTCCATCAGAAAACTTCACAGCACTTCCAAACATGAATGAATTAAGCCTCACAACAGCACTATGAAATAGGGAATGGGGAAACTGAGCCACAGTAGATCAATTACTTGTGTAATATTACACGAGGAGTCAGTGGCAGGGCTAGAACAGTACTTTGATCTCTTGACTCCCAGTCCTGTGCTTTAGCAACAAGACTACATTTACCCTCATGTAAAACCAGCCTTAGTAAAACTGCTGGGTAGAAGCAACTTCTCAAGGATAGCTTACCTCCTATCAAACCTGATCTAAACATATTTTATGTAATGGTTTCTCTTTCCTCCAACACACAAGGATTAAATGTTAACATAAAGAATCTCCATTTTAGATATCAGTGATGCCAGGATTTGAATCCAAAAACACAGCCAGCTGGTTGGAATTCTGGTGTCCAGAAGCAACCTAATTTATTGTCCATATTTAAAGCTATTTATTCTTCCAGACACTGATACTTTAAGCATCCAGTGTTATCTGGCACTTTAATTCCCTGATCTTATCAAACATGAAGCAGCAACTTAAATGAACACGTTCCAAATGAGATGCCTGAAGAATTACATATATGAGAACAAAAGTTGGGGATGGGAATTAATGAAGCAATGTTCCAGGAAGACTTTTGTTGTTGATTACTAAATTAATACAAAAACAATCCTTACCTCAGAATTATTGATGGCCACAGCTTTTACCAGGAGCCTGCTGGCATCCAGATGAAGACCATAATGAAGCAAAAGGTTAGCTAGATTGACTAAAGGGATATCCTGATACTCATGTGGGGCTAAGTTCAATGCTTTTCGCAAGCATGAGATAGCAAAGGTGCTATTTCCAACAGCACGCCAGTAGAGTCCAGCCTCATTAAGCATAAGCCATAAAGGATCCCTTGGCTGAAAAAAAGTCACAACATTTCAGGAAATTTCAATCGCTTACCATAAACTCTCTCCAACATAAGCAACTCAGTGTATTGCTTTTTGAACTGGATACAATTTATTCTACCTTGGCTGAGGGTACTTAGCTTACCATTTGAATGTCACAGGTGCAGGGTAGATGAACTAAGGTTAATTTAGTAGCACCTGTTGCTCAGCAAGAGCATTCAGCTAGCAACCTTGATTTATGGGATTGTCCTGAATGATTTCCACAAAGTCCTTTAATGCATACATATGACAATCCCGCCTGGCCACAGGAATCAATGATTCTTAGCCCTTTGCCATTCCAGGGTGCAAGAACCACATTGCCACATGTACACAAAAAAGGATACCATCCATTTGAGAAGTAGTCAGTTTCAAAAAGTAGTTGAAGGTGGTTCCAGTTCCTATATCTGATTCAAGTCCCTCTACCAATTTGAGGTTTTAGAATATTTTCCTATTTTAAATAATTATCTATCCATTTGTATTTTGGGTAGTGCCCACAATGTGCTGGGCAACTGTCTAAACATATAGCAAGATAGTCACTGATCCAAAATGCTCACAACTTAAAGTAGTAAACATGGTGGGGCAGAGGGATAAAACGTACAATCAATCAGATTTCTAATTATTCTTAGCTGTCCCTTGACCTATAGTTACATGAAACAGACTAATTCATTCTTTAGAGAAGGAACAATGAAACTACGTAGAGTTGTGTCAAATGCACAACAAAATATGTAAAACAAATACTCTCTCTCTTTCAGCTGTAGCAATCTTAGGTGTTTCTTATAACCATAGTGGGTAAAAGTTTTCAGAGAGAAGTACATTTTGTAGATAATGGTATTTCTGCAGTATTTTTGAATTAATAGCCTCATACTAAAAGGTTTTATTTGCATTACAGGATATAATGGATAGTTTAATATGCTATCAAATCCGTTTTCCAATGTTTTTTGGGTAATCTGTAATTGTAGGACAAATCTAATGCTTCAATCCTGCAACAATTTACACATGTGTAATGTTACTTGTGTGAGTAAGTCTTATTGATGAGACCACTCACTGAATAATGTCACGCATGCATGCAGATCTGTCAGGGGTGCATTCTTAGGCCCTATACTGAAACACAAAAAAATACAGTGCTAAATGCAATGGTCTATATGCAGGGCTTGGAGTAATTGTTTTTAGTCCTAGACATAACTGTAGTCATAGCTATTATTGTCTAGAACCTTCAGAATTCTAGAAAGACTTTTGTATTTCAGTTTTTAGGGGTGGGAGACATTTTTGTATTTCTAGTTGTAAATTATGGTTCCTCCTCCCAGCACTTGGTAGGAGAAGCAGTTATTTTCAGATTTACTACTGCTTTCTTAGCTGATTTTTTACTAACTGTAAGAGACACCCTAACTTAAATAAAATCATTTTCAATGAAACAGTTGTAGGGTTTTGTGCACAATTCCTTTCCTCTCCCTTCACGTTGTGAGGAACAAGCGACATGCTGCCTATCATTCTAACCAATATTGTTTCACTGTTTCCATGTAATCTCCACGTTGGCCTGTCTCTATGCATCCAAGTATTATGTACTTCATTTGTAAGCTCTCTGGGGGCAGTGACTGTCTTTTTGTTCTGTTTGTACAGTGACTAACACACATAGGGTACTGGTCCATAATTAAGACTTCTATGTGCTACAGTAATAATTAATAAATGCTGTGCAAGAGTTAGCAATGGCATTGCTTATAAGGGTATTGCAAAGGCTTTAATCCTATTTTTTCAACATAAGGCTGTCATTAATTTAAACATTCAAACCTGTTTGCAGACAGATTTAGTCTTTCCCCAGGAAGACCATGATGCTTATTGCTGAACTTCTGCTCTGAAAATGCCTCCTGTCCTCTGCAATTTGTGCACATAAGCATGACAAGAACGTGCTCATGACATGCTCTAACTGGTTAAGAAGTTGTTTATTGGAGAAGCTTTTTCAGCACTAAAGCCATGAAATTGAGTATTACCAAGGGAAAAAAAAACTATGCATTCGGATGGCCACTTAAGAAAACTCAGAAGGTAAGACATTAAGCCTGCAAAGAATTGTTATGTGCACAAGAATATGAATACCACTCAGATCTGTACTCCTTCTTATGGTCAATGAAAAGATGACCAAAAACTCCACATATTATATTTAGGCTTTGACAACGTGGTATATACACGAAAGGCAGCATGTCAACAGAGTGAATTTGACATCTGTTAAGACTGAATATGATTTCTCCAAAAGTTTTTCTCCATCCTGACATTTACTATTTGTATTGTGGTAGCACTCAAAGGCCCTACTCATGATCAGGGTCCCATTTTGCTAAGTGCTGTGCAAAGACTTAAGACAGTCTCTGCCCTGAAGAGTTACCAGTCTAAACAGACAAGCCAGACAAAGGGTGGGGGAAAGGAATATAACATAAGAAAAGCAATGTCTATTGGTTGGCGAACATCATGTTCGTTCCAGGTGTATTTATTGTTTGATTCAGGAAATGGCATTGTATTCCCTTGCTCAATATCTTGCAAATTTTTACAGGAATGAAATTCACTCACTCCACCAGTGTTCTTACGTAGGAAGAAAGCTATAATAGGGTCCACTGAGTAAGCTGAGTGAAAGGGATGCTTCTCTGAACATTTGTGGTTCTTTGTGGAACCTAGATCGAAAGAAGTTAAAAATTTCAGCTCTGCTATATCCACCAGGCAAGGCAAATTGTAAATAGTGTGCCACTGAACAACATGAGTCTAGTTATGACACCTCATAGATAAACAAGTATTCTCAAATTTACTTTGAACTACAATTCTTGACTTACCTTCTTTATAGCATGATAGATGAATGCTCCTATTTGCTCCTCTGTAATAGTTTGATTGTTGATACGCGAATGCAAGATCTGAACACGAAAAAGCATTTAACAGAAAAATAGGGTGGAAGATTTTAAAGTTCTCTCTCAAACACAGCTATATCCTGTAAAAACTATCTGGCTTGCTCAAGTCTCATGACCCTAAAATTTCCTAAACCCCTTCTTTGTACTGTAGCTGAAAAGTGATCCCTACAGATGCACTGTTGGTGGTCTGGGGGAGGGGAAGAGTCTTAAGACCAATTAAAGCAACCAAGGGACAGTAAGCAATAACGAAAGACAGGTAAAAGCAGGTGTCTCTCCTGTGTCAATGAGGTGGTAAAGCCAATGAACAGTTTTCATGTGGTCTTCAGAGGTTTTAGAAGACGACAGTACTTTCTAGATTAACTATCATTTTTTGTCTACACACTTTTGATAGGTGTTTAAAGAGGCCATGTCATGGGACCTCATGCCAGATATTAAGAACTTACACTTCCCAGCAAGGGGAAGCCTATGGAAGTACTGAGCACCTTGCAAAATCAGGTCTATCTTTGTTATGAGAATCTGTCAAATCCTGAAGACCTTAGCTCTAAGGCCGTAAAAGGCAGACACTCAGAATGAAAAGGTTACTTATGAAAACAGTGCCTCTTACTTGTCTCGCATGATCATCCGGAATTTTAAATTTCAGCTCCAGATGACCATCTAGTTCTTTGACCAACATGTACAGAGTTTCATTGTTACGGACATCAATAATAGACGAACAATCTGGCAGCTGGGCCTCTCCATGCACATGGGCCTCTCCTGGGCTACTCAGGATCGATTGGACTCTGACAGTGAAAAGAACCGAGAAGACATGAGTTCATGTTTCAAATGGTGGGATGTAAACACACAAACAGCTGAGTGGCATATGGCTGGTCCTGTCCATACTACATTTTAACCATCTTAAATCCAGGTAAGGGGACAGTCATTTTGGAAATGGTTTCCTGACTTGGTTATAGCTGTAGTGTGGACAGAGCATTAGATGGATGTGACTCCTTTTGTGGAGTGGGAAGAAGGAGGGCCTCCAAGAGAATACAATTGCTGCCTGCTACAATCAAAGATTGACACATCATCTTCTCCAGCCAGAGGGAGACCCAGCCACTTTAAAAGAATAATACACCAGTTGGTCAGTGACCCCAGATTCTCATAATGAGGCCACATCAGTACAACCAGATTGTACAATACAATGGGAAATTCACTTTATGATTAATCAACACTTGCCCGAATCCTCTGTTTTCTGGAGGCAGGAAATAGGTTGGCAGTTCCTCTGGGTTCGGGATTGTTGGAAAGGATTTTACACAGTCTGATCTTTTAGGCCAAAGAATATGCTGTTTATCCTAAATGCAAAGAAAAAAAAATCCTTAAACTATTGAGAAATAATTAATCAATCTTGTTAACGTTTTCATTAACTAAATGATAATACCACCTCAGGAATACAGTAGGATGACAAAAAAGAAAAAAAAACCCAAGCTCTTCCCTTAAGATAATGGTTTCCTGTCTTTTCTGGAAATTGTCCCAATTTATCAAGCCAAGATTTTGGTTGCATCAGCACAGTGCTTTCTATTTTTAGTAAATTGTGCTGCTCTACCATGAACGGAGGTTTGGGCTCTAAAGCCCAATTCTGCAGTCATGAGAGCAACCCAAATCCACATTGTGTGGTACAGTTCACACAAAAATGAATGGGAGACAGGCAGAAGTAGTGGTCCACTAGTGCTCAGCAGAGCAGCTTACCTGAGACAATGAAGGAGAACTCAGGAGTACCAGGCACATAAGTCCTGCTACATATGAGTGGCTGGACACTGCTGCTTTAGAATAAACTTTTATGAAAGGAGTACACAATCTTTCATGATAGCCCTGTATAAAAGAGCGAGCTCATACGCTTTGCTCACCCTGTAGGCATCCGATTCTAGGCCCCATAGTGAAACAATAGAATGGGCAACAGGAGAAGACTGCAAAGCGTGGCTGAGATCGCTGTGGTTTGCGTGGAGATCCAAATTCACGGATGTCATACTGGATCTCGATGAGTCTTCTCCAAACTGTCGATAAAGAAGAAAATGACAGGGACATTATCACTATTTTTAGACAGTATTTCCTTTCAAGGTAATGAACTACCAACACTGAATTTTGTAAGTTAGATTTGCTTTTCATCACTTATGCAGGTTGTTTACTTCTTGCAATTCCCTTAGCTTTGGCAGCAAAACGAGACTCGTGAATGTATGAGTCATTTCTGGTCCTCTTGCACTAGCACAATATTAGGGTTTCAAACGTATCAGGAGAAAATGCAGATCAAAGCAAAATACTGTTTTATTGTTTTTTAAAGTAATATTGTGAAACCCTTTTTATTAATATCAGGCTTTCCAAACGTTTTACAAATACAAATACGATATCTACTTTTGCAGAGTGTTTCAACCTTTCTTCAGGCACTATCAAACCCAAAGCATAAAAGCTGGCATTTTAAACTACTAGAACAGCAGCAGCAACTCTCTGACTCGAGAGTCATTGTCAGGTGGGCAGAACTCACGTTATCACTCACACTCTCAGCCACATAAAATATTCGGAAGTATAATGCTGATTCCCTCCTCTTTAAATCTCGTTATGTTACAAACGTTTTTAGAATGATGTTCATCAAGATGAACTGACTGAAAATATCAAGAAAGATGGATCGCTATCCATCTTAAATAATTTGTAAAAGCGTATATAAAGTAAAAACCAACAATTATTTATATATACTGTGATAGACCCAGGCCAGTTGGGTACAGCAAAGTAGCCCTATTGGGATCCAGGAAGTGGATCTGCTAAAGGATCCACCCCCCGCCCCAGCCTAAGTGGGGGTCCACAGGACCTGGAAAACCAAATAATTACGGGGGACAATTAATGAACAACAGGGACAGGAGTGCGGTCAAAGGGTCAAATGAAGAGAACCGGATGGGGACACCGAGCAGAGAACCTGGACAGCACCCACTGCTCCTCAAAGGCGTCAAGGGAGTCGGTGGACGCCGCCCAGAGGAACTCTGCCCGGAGGCGTGAACGGACAGAGGATCGGAAACAGGCCCCACAGTCACAGGAGACTCCATCGGCCAACCTCCTCACCCTGGTTTTATAGATGGCCACTTTAGCCAGGGCCAGGAGGAGGTTGACCAGGAGGTCCCACGACTTAGTGGGGCCACGGACAGGGAGTGCATAGATAAGGAGGTGAGGGGAAAAGTGCAACCAAAACCTTAACAAAATATTCGTGAGGAGCCGGAATAGGGGATGCAGCCTGGCGCACTCCAGATAGACGTGCGCCAGGGTTTTCCTCACGCTGCAAAAGGGGCAGGTGTCCGGGATTGGGGTGAACCGCGCCAAGTACATGCCCGCGCTCACGGTCCCGTGAAGGAGCCGCCAACGGATATCCCCAGCGGGCCTCGGGACCAAGGTGGAATATAGGCTGGCCCACCAGGGCTACAGCAGAGTAGCAGAAGGTAGATATACCGCCTTAACAGTTTTCTGTTTCCTGACTGACTAGAGCAGGGGCTGCGCCAGGCTAATGAGAACACCTGACTCCAATTAACCTGCAAAGAGTCAGGTGAGGCCATGAAGCCAATGTGACCACCTAACTCTAATTAAGGCCCCTTTGATAATATAAAAGGGCTCACTCCAGTCGGGCAGAGAGAGCTAGATGAGAGGAAGTGTGGCTGAAGGGCTGGTTAATGAAGACACCCTCAAGTCATGGGTAAGGGTGAAGAAGGGAGAAGCAGGAGAGCTGTGTAGAAGTGGCCCAGGGAAATGTAGCAACTCTGGCAGTGAAAGGTTGGCTGCCAACAGCTGCTACCATAAGGGTCCCTGGGCCAGAACCCGGAGTAGAGGGTGTAGTTTCCACCACTACAGAAACACCTCCTGGGAGGGGAAAACAGGCCCCTGTCAGGACAGGAGGCTAAACTGCTTTGGCAGGAGGCTGTAGGAGCAACAGAGACTGTGGGAATTCTCTCACTAACCTCCACTGCTGGCTTATGATGAAAAGGGCACAGTAGACTGTATCCCTGGCTCTAGAGAGAGAAGGGCTACGTGGAGGGTTGCAGTGAGCCTCTAAAGCTAGCATAAACCCCCTGGAAGCGCGGGACCCACGGGGACAAGGTCGGAGCTCTGCCACAATACACACACTTCTTCAGCTGTCATAGTGGGGTACATTATTCTATGGGAAGTACTATATGTGGATCCAAAGAGAAAACTGATTCCTTAAAGGCATGTGTCTCTTTATGTACATTAGTTACCTAGTGTACGTTTGCTGTGTCCTTCAAGGAAACTAGATTTGGAAATGGATGCTTCACATCTCCAGAGGCACACCCCTAGCTACAGGACATTTAGCATATTCATGTAAGACAACTACACTCCTTCTCAAATCATCTGATGCCTGTACTTAATAGAAAGAGGGCATTCTATACAGAGGAAAAAAAAGAGTGATTGAAAATCCAGGGCAATGTTGGGGTTTCACAAAACACTCCAGAACATTTTCCTCCCAAAAAGATAGTTGAGAAGAGCCCTCATTTTGCTCCCTCCCTATGCAACAAAACAAAATCTTTAAACAACAGGCATTGGGCTGCCAAAATCCAGAGTTATTTTCGGTTCTCCCACTATTAGCAAAAGGGTCACAGGAAAGTTACACGAGCAGAATGTGCCTTTTACTCTTTTATATATATATATATATATATAAAATATAATTTATTTTTAAAAAAAAAAAGGATTGTGTGGTAGCAATTATGGACATCTTATGCCCCAAGGACTTGTGTTGCTTGAGTGACTAGTAGTGGTGCTAATTCACAGACAAACCTGAACATATTCCACATTTTCAAAAATGTCCCCACGGTGATAGCGAACAGGCTGGTCCCACTGGCAGTGCAAGCTGTGCTGTTGGTTGCCAAGCCGACATATCTGATGGTTCCCTATGGAGCACAAACATTAACAAAAGTTCATTGCTGTGAAAGAGCAGAGGGTTTCTCAGCTGACCAAAACCAGCACATTAGCTTGCAACTAGACTCGGATATCTTGTTGACTGGTATTAAAGGAGAACTCCATCTCTGAAAGAAGATAGCTAAACTAATATTTGTGTAAAGGACTACATGACATTTGACTACACTTCCTGCAGTACAGTTTGCATGGAGTTTGGGATTTGACATACCCAATTCTGCATTCCCTACTCATTTTCCTACAGTACTTTTGCACTTCATTCAGCCTTTTTGGCAGTCAGTCTTTTCCAGATAGGCACAAGAGTCCTGCTGAGAAAACTGAATGGTTGCTCAGATACTGGAGATGTAGGATAGATTTAATCCTTTAACTACGAATTCACAGAAGAAAGGACATTATGTTCCAAAAGTTTGTTCTTGTAGTGCATTGAGTGTCCTAGATTTACTCGGAATTCCCTCAACTCTAGAACCTATAGCTTAGGGCTTATCTACCCAGCAAATTAGTGCCAGGTATAGACAGAGTACCTTGCCTTGCTGCAAATACCCTACTACATGTGCACTAAAAGTTCTGTAGTTGAAATCTGAGTACATCAAAATGCACTACAGAACTTTGTGTGCTGTAGTAAAATCCACATGGTGAGTTAGTGCTTGGCAAGCTAGTGCACTGCAGATTCACACCCTGGCTTCACACCCAGCATTAACTTGTTATGTAGATAAGTCCTTAGAATAATTTATCTAACAAAATTCAAATATAGTTTAGTATTAAGTAGGAGGGATGGGTTTTTTCTCAGATGTTTTCCTGCACAATTTCCTAGCCTCCATTATTCAAAGGCCTCAACATTTCAGCATTTCCATTTCTAGCTATGATGGACTACAGTTCCTCCATAAGCTAATCAACATGGGCTGTACTAGCTCAGGGCCCCTAAGAACAACAAAACATGCTCCCTTTTCCTGAAACTAAGCGTGTTTTATAGATTTTTGCCTTTGCCAGACAAGGACCCATGGACTGATCGGAGAACATGTCACACAACTTTTTCAAAAGCAAAATGAAATGGCCACCTAAGAGCATCATAACCCAATATGGGAGTGAATTGTTTCACTGCATTACGCTGTGACTGAAAGTGACTAACTCTTACTCGTTACATTCAGTGCTCATTACAAAATTTGTACCTAGTTGTGCCTCTTTTGCCATCTGCGTCTCATGGATGATGTTCCTCAGGATTTGCTCTTCTTGGATCAGCTTGTGCTTCTCTAAGATCTCCTGTTGTCTCAGGTAATGGTCATGCTGTTTTTGATATTCCTTCAACTCATTTAGTGTTCGCTGAAGTGATCTTAAAATTTGACACCAGGAAAGTTTATGCTGAATTGTTTTAAACAGCCATCTGTCGTTTCACATTCATATGAAACTTTTGGTTGCTTACAATATTTGTATTTATGATTATGCAATAGTTGTAAACTGTTGTAAGTTAAAACATATCATCGTTTTACCACAATGGTGAGCAATAATCACAGGAACAGAACATTGAGAATGAGACCTCTTGCATATGAATTTTTATTAGGCTTTTCAGAGGATGCATGTCTTAGTTACCTATGCTGAGCTTCCAGTTTCTGCTCAAGTTTTTGCTGACAAAGGACAGCGTGCTTCCTTTTTACAGCTTGCTCAAACCCTGGTTTGGCCTGTAAAGCATGATCATAACACAGGACTGAGTGGTTGTACTCCCCAAGCATCTGAAGAATGATTGAAAGAGAGAGAAAGTTAGCCACTGTTCAGTAACATTTAATGAAACACTTTCAGTGATTAATAAAGATCAGTTTTTTACTTCAATTTAATATTGATTTGTTTTAATCAGCAGCCAATCTCTTCTGAAATTAGAACCATGTTGTTGGGTAAATCAGCTACAAGACTGGTTTTGCTCTAAGAGGTGTTTTCAACAGCAGATATAAGCTTTTCTTTGTTAGTTGAAAGATTAATTTCTCTGCGAAGTTGGTTGGATTCAGACCTCTTAAACATCAAGCTTGAACAATGTGTGAAATTTATTGCAGGATCATTTAATCATTGCGCTGTATTTTAAAAGTGCTGCAACTGTAGCCAAAGAGATTAAATTATACCATCTGGTTTTCTGTAGTTCTTGGAAAATAAAAATCTTATTTACTGCGTATATATTTCCCAAAGTGTAATAGCTGGTAAAGAAGTCACTGTAATCCAGAGCTGCATGGACCACGATGGCTGCATCTGCTGAGAAATGAGCCCTGTGTAGAACATTTGCCAAGTTTACCAGGGCAATATCTTTACTGTGCCTAGAGAAAAAAGGAAAAAAAAAATATTAAAAAGATGTCTGATGATGAGTTTCTTTATTCATGTTTCTTGTTTGCTTTCCAGGCACACGTTACAAGGACTTTCCAAAACTAACAGCAGCTAGTAAACATTGCAAGTATGCAGTGCTGACTTGAAGCCTTAATTGCATGATCTAGCCCAGTGGCTCTCAACCCTTCCAGACTACCCTATCCCTTTCAGGAGTCTGATTTGTCTTGCATACCCGCAAGTTTCACCTCACTTAAAACTACTTGTTTACAAGATCAGACATAAAAATACAAACAAGTGTCACATCACTCTATTACCAAAAATTTGCTTGCTTCCTCATTTTTCCACATAATTATAAAATACATCAATTGGAATATAAATATTGTACTTACTTTTCCATATACTATACACTGAAATGTATAAACAAGTCATTGTCTGTATGAAACTTTGTAATGACTTCCCTAGTGCATTTTATGTAGCCTGTTGTAAAAGTAGGCAAATATCTAGATGACTTCATGTACTCCCTGGAAGATCTATGCATACCCCTAGGGTATATGTGCCCCTGTTTGAGAACTACTGATCTTGCCAAAATATATTTTAAAAGTATGTTCAGCTTCTAGATTGTCTGTGGAAAAACTACTCATTACTCAGTCAGGGGAACTAACTTAATATTGGATTGTTCCAGCCAAGGTGTCATTTGGATGGATGGCATTATGTTTATGAAAACGTTGTACTGTTTTTCATTTTTAATACTCCATCTGTGTACTTTACAATCAAATGTACATGTAACCTTTATTTCTCATACAGGGTATATAGACAAACTACTCAAGCTTCATTTAGCAGTCCAGAATCATAGAGCAACACACATTTAAAATAAAACTAGGTACATTACTGAATCTCTTCACAATAGTATCTGTGCACACCCTAAAATATTTATGGATTTATCATTATAACATCTCTGTGAGGTATTATCCACATTTTGCTGATGAGTAACCGACAAGGAAGGCATTCAATGACTTGCATCAAGAACATGATTTCATGGCAGAGCCAGAAACTGAACCTAGATCTTCTAGATCCCAGACCAGCGTCTAAACTATAAGATCATCCTCTTTCTCCTTTATCATTCCAAAAGTCACATCATAAGTCACAGTGAGCAAGCAGGATTTGTCTCATCAAGGTATTTACAAAATTTGCTGAAGTGCCATCTTGCAAGTTTCAGAAAACTAGAAAGTATTGTTTACTAGAATATACTAAGATTGAAGCACAGCTTTGAACTGCTGCCACCTATAGCCAACCTCAAATTGTGGTTGAGAGAATGAAATCAAAAGTGGGTTTATAACCTCTAAAGAAAGCTACCACTATTCAGCTATGCAGCCACCCCAATGGCACAGCAGAGGTTTCTTCAGTGCCAACCATGTAGCATAAGTTATAAGAGCACTGAGCTTAATTACAAAATACCATATATTGCAACTACTCTGAGTCATCAGTTTTCAGTTTCAATTAATTCACCTTATAGGTAGTGTCTACCCTCACTTGTACTGTTGCCCCAGGCCAACCTTTTCTAAATGGTGTTTTCCTGGAATGTCACTGGATTTTGAAAATTGATGTTTGAAGAGTGGCTTTGAATGGATATTAATATTGTTGGTGGCACTTTCCTGATCACTGTGCACTCTCCTGATACAGCAGATCGCTACTCATTCATCTAGGGGGACGATCACAGATTTAGTAGCCAGAGAATAACCCTTCCCACCAGACTAGACCATCTCCAGGGATGCTACCAGAGCCCTAAAATTGCAACAGCCACCGTTGTTCCTGTGTTCCCAATCTGACAAGACTCCATTACAAGATGTGCCTTGACACAAGTAGCTTAGTGTTGGTTACGTTCACATCTCATTGTACCAACTATTCTGCAGCACATTTCATACCTTCTCTACAGAATTTGGCCAATAAATTTCTACTAAAAAGCAGCAAGATTGTCATTCTTTTGGTATTGTCAGGTTTGTGGATTACTGAAGTGAAAGACTGCACAAGTCTAACATAAATTGAATAAAATTTTCAGTCTTTACCTCCTGGCTATTTCACCCTCTTAAGAGCTATTTAAAACTGTAGCTGCTTAATAGTGAAACTCTGAATGGCAGTCTCTATTCAGTAGACTCTATCACCCATTTTCTTAGGATACAATTTTCAGTAACTAAAAAACTGTATACTGTTTAGGATAAATAGAAAGCAGACTGGAAAAGGAACCTGTATCAGCTGCTCTCACCTTGAGGAGAAGTGGAGAGCCCGCATGGCACACTCCACTACCTGATATGGCTCATTCTTTATTCGCCAATAAAATGAGGCCATATTATACAGCACCCAGGAAGAAGAATTCTGTAAGAAAACACATGACTGTAACAACTGTAACAATCCAAGAGCCAAGGTATACTATAAACCAATAGGCTGACTAGTCTTTCCAATTGGTACTGGAGGCAAAATTAAACTCTGAACATGCCTTCAGTTATGCCTCTCCTTCTGCAACAATGCCCTTCAATAGGAGCTGGGAGCATTTAAAGGGAGAATGAATCAGCATATAAATACATCAAGGATATATGAACCCCAATATTAACTTTCACAAGGATGCCTGAAGTGACCATTTAATCATCAACATTTTTATTTTAAGCTGAATAAGGAATGTGCACAGCAGTATGGTGCAGAAAAATCTTTGAGAAAATGGCCATTTCAGTTCCATTGTTTTCTCTTTTTGATGCCTTTGCTCTTTAACTACTTGGGTTCTATTTCAAATGTTCAGGCTGTTAAGTGATGACTGCATTTTCTGTGGTTTGATGAGCTATATCTCACCAGTTACTAAAGCTGAACTTTAAATCATGTCCATTTACTTCTCTGGCTGCTGATCCTCACTGCAGTGAAAGACATGGCTTTCCGTGATGTGTTTATTTTCCAGTGGAAAACACTGAAGTGCTGCCCCATGTACCAGGGATCTCAACATTTGTTGGTACTTGCACATGATGAATAGTATGTGGACAGACAGTACCCATAGCGTTGTATTCCACAAATACACTGTATATGCAACAGTACAAGAGCTTCTTGAGGCTGTTCTTGTGCATGCCACAACTATGAGGGTCCCTACTGTCATACCTTCATTAGACCTTCATAAATGCGATGGCCTATGTCCTCTATACTTCTTCCTAAACGTCTGGATAAGTAAATGGAGATAGGATCTTCTTTAGGTAACAAAGGTGCGGAAAGATTAACTCTTTCTTGAACACCCTAGATTGAGGGAAGAGAACACAATAAATGTCTACTGAAAGTTTTATTGAGGCTACAAGAGTAAAATACAGCAGATTTCAGGAAAATTTACAAAATAATACTTTATGCTCCTGTAGCATCTTCCACCCGAGTATCTCAAAGTTTCTCAAGCTTCATCCTTGAGACATCAGCATTATACTCACTCTTTTACAGATGGGAAAACATTAGAATGATATTAATGCAAACACATCCAAAAGCAGCCTCTCATCCTGCATTTTTTGGGGTCCCCCCCAAATTGAGATAACTAGGATTTTATTTTCTATGGTACTGAATACTGACAGCTCCCATAAATTCAACTGTGGGTGCCAAGTATCTCTAGAACATCAGACAAAGTGTGTCGAGCGAGGCACTGCAAAAGTTAGTGCACAAAAGGAGTGAGTGGATGCTTTTGAAAATTATTGAAAACAATTCAGGACCCAGCCAGGAATAGAACTGAGAAACCCTGGTTCCTGCTTCAACTGCAAGAATATCCTCTCTCTTTTGGAAGTAACAGAAACCTTTTATTAAAACCACTTCTTTTTAAAAAATAATCATCAAGAGACAGACCCTAAGGCCAGGTCTACACTAGAAACTTTTGCCACTGCAGTAATGTTGCTTAGAGGTCTGATTTTTATACAACTTTTCTATACCAGCATGAGCACTCTTTTGCTGGTACAGGCTAAAATTTAGATTAGGAAGGTTTCCCAAAAGCTATAACAGCCAACCTCTTCAAACCATCAGGCAGCAGGAGGAGAAACACCTTGCAATTGCCTACTTACCCTTAAGTGCTGAAAAGCATGAATGCTGTATGGAAGATCTAGAATTTTTGTACAGTCTGGTTGTTCTAGGTCAGGAGGTACAGGAGACTGTGTGTCTATATAGTCTTCGGGGCTAAAACCAGAAAGCAACATATCAAACTCAGTGCTTACAAGTGCTTTAATCCATAAAGTTCATGAGAGGCACTAGTGAAATAGTTAGTTAAAAATACCAACATTTTGTGCTAAACAGACCACTACTTTTAAAAAATGAACATCTGTGTTTGAGCTAGTTAGCACCCCTGAAGCACTCTCTCAGATTTATGAGTCAGTACAAGGGATAAACAGTACTTTACTGATTTGGGGCTTTGCTCTGAAAGTGAATTGTTAGCTACCTTAGAAGAGACAGATTGATACTTAGAAATATACTAGCTGGGAGATTTTGGCAATACATGTTGAGGAACATCTGTCCACCCAGTGTGTTTCTGTTGTAATTATTCTTTCCTCTACAAGGCAGAGAGTAATACATTCTGACCAGAGAAGTCTCTCTGCCCTGGTCTACACGAGTTTAGGTCGAATTTAGCAGTGTTAGATCTATTTAACCTTGCACCCGTCCACATGATGAAGCCATTTCTGTCGACTTAAAGGGCTTTTAAAATTTAATTTCTGTACTTCTGCCTGACGAGGGGATTAGTGCTGAAATCGACATCGCCGGGTTGAATTTGGGGTATGTGGATGCAATTCGACGGTATTGGCCTCCTGGAGCTATTCCAGAGTGCTCCATTGTGATTGCTCTGGACAGCACTTTGAACTCAGATGCACTAGCCAGGTACACAGGAAAAGCCCCGGGAACTTTTGAATTTCATTTCCTGTTTGGCCAGTGTGGCAAACTCAGCAGCACAGGTGACCATGCAGTCCCCCCAGAATGTTTCTACGCTCCCCCATCATCTCCGTCCCTGACGTTATTGCAGATTAGAAGGCGAAAAAATGCACTCGTGAGGACATGTTTTCCGAACTCATGAAGTCCTCCCGCACTGATAGGGCACAGCTTAATGCATGGAGGCATTCAGTGGCAGAGGCCAGGAAAGAATTGCTGTGTTTGCTTAACAACAAAAAGTATTATGCCTCGCTAGCGATCCTGCCCGAGCCAGGTCACTGTGTCACAAGCACTCCACGCTGTGTCAGCCTTGGGCGGGGGCAAGACCGCTTTGTGAGCAGGAAGGCCATAGATATAGACATTGCATTAGGTAGCTTCTGTAGCAAGAGAAAACAAAACATTCTTGTGCATTCGGCAAAGTCTGTGGCTAAAAAAGAGAAGTCCCGTGACACACCAAACTATTAATAATACACAACCACATGTTATATAAAGTATAATAGGGACCACGCGAGGGGTTTGTTCAAGTTGGGTTTCCATAGTGTAGTGGTTATCGCATTCACCAAACACGCGAAAGGTCCCCGGTTCAAAACCGGGTGGAAACAGGTCCCTGATCCTTTTTCTGACTCCCCTCCTGCATTTTTAGTCTTAGAACAGACCGCACTGCAAAACTTTACTTTTAATTATATCAATTATGAGTTAAATAATATGGAAGCTCTCTCTAAGTTATAGTCCCGGATTCCTTACCCTTTCAGCTGCTCTGATAAATTAACATTTTTGTTAGGGGCAGGGGAAAATTTTCAAGAAGCCTTTTATAGGGACTAAATGCTATCTAGGACTCTGAAATAATCTTAACGTGGCCCACAGAGTGCAATCCTTCATTCTGGATTTGTCATTCCACAAGCTGAGCTGCTCCTTACTACTGTCCAGGCTTCATGAGCCATGGGAGGAAGGGGTAGGTATGACCGTGCGGTGCTGCCAGCTGGGAGAGCAGCCTGAGGCAGAAGCCTCCAGCTTGCATGATATTCCAGGCAGGACTGAATCTCCATGAGACGAAACTTAAAGAAGAGAATGACTTGGAGTCACTCCCATTCGGTGCTCTAAGAGGAGAATAGCCATGTCTGTCCAGGCGCCCCTGATCGACTTCACCTAGGTCTACCAGGAGCACCCAGGAGACGTACGATGGCCATCAGTCCTACTGCACCATCTGCCACAAAGGCAAGGAGCTGCTGCTGTGTAGCAATGCAGTACCGCGTCTGCCAGCAGCACCCAGGAGACGTACGGTGACGGTGAGCTGAGCGGGCTCCATGGTGGTATGGCAAGCATGGCTGCGGGCTGAGTGGGGCTGGCGGCTGAGACCCCGGCTGGCAGGTGCTGGCGGACAGAGCCCCAGACCGGCAGCGGGCTGAGCGGCTAAGCCCGCTGCCAGTCTGGGGCTCCGTCTGCTGGCCCTGCTCAACCCGCTGCCTGCCTGGGGTTTGGATCATCCAGGCAGGTAGCGGGCTGAGCTGGGCCGGCGGACGGGACCCCGGAAAAAAGGTGAGAAACGATTGTCTGCCATTGCTTTCACGGAGGGAGGGGTGCCCGACGACATGTACCCAAAACCACCCACGACAAAGTTTTTGCCCCATCAGGCATTGGGAGCTTAACCCAGAATTCCAATGGGCAGCAGAGACTGCAGGAACTGTGGGATAGCTACCCACAGTGCACCGCTCTGTAAGTCGATGCTCGCCACAGTAGGGAGGACGCAGTCTGCCGACTTAATGCACTTAGTGTGGACATACGTAATTGACTGTATAATATCGACTTCTATAAAATCGATCTAATTTTGTAGTGTAGCTATACCCTTAGATTGTGATATACAAATATTATGAAGAGTGAAGAGAAACCTGTAGAATCTGGGAATGGGGCTAGACAACTCAGATCTAGGGAGAGGAAGTTTTAAATAAAGTAACCCTTTTCCACACCTCAAGTACACACATGGCAAGGCAGGAAGATCAGCCCTGAAGATCACCTCAACCAAAAAAGTTGAGCTTCACATGGACTATTCATATTCCTTTTATCTTCTAAGCATTACAGTTAGGTAGCATTTGATTCATTAGTTTTCTATTTCTGGAGATGCAACTTCAAATCTGTCTTGAGTTAAAAATGAGCCAGGTGGTTTCAGTCTGCTCCACACTAGAGGAAGTTTATCCACTTAAGAAAAAAAAAAAACACCCTAAAAAACCACCACCATATAGCTCAATTCACATGACTGACACTCACTACTCAGGAAAAATCCCGGTTAGGAACATTAGAGTCTTTATAGATCATCATGGACGGAAGCCCCGAAATGCAACACTACAAGTCAGGATTGAAGTGCATTAGTTTGGGGTGGAAAGCAGTACTCCTCCACATACAGTGAAAACCCCTCCAACATTAACACACAATAAAAACAGATGCCATCCAAGGGAACTATCATCTGATAATTTCTTAAAAATTCTCTATATGAACTTTTTTTGATCTCACGCTCACGTATTAATCTTTATTTTGTAAAACCTTATTAAAGTACAAGAGTTTCATCTCATTACCTGATATCTTTGCTCTCTAAGGTGATGTATGTGCCATCATACAGATCCAAGTCCCCCAAGGGCACCTTTGCTTTAATGCAGTCTGGATCCTCTTTATTATGCCTTTGTTCCAGCCCTGTGTCTCTGTCTTCATTCTCCTCTATATGAATCTTTTGAGCAACTAACTGTTTCTGTAGGAATAAGAGAAATAGAAACATGCATATATTGAGGTAAAGCACATCCCCACTGACAGGACACTTGCCCAAGCCAAGCTTCTTTCTTACCAAAGCAACCCATTCAAACAAAAAACAGCACCACTACCTAAACAGGTCTCCCTTGAGAAATGAGAGTCTGTTACAGATATTTTGATTTACCCTATATATATATATATATATATATGCGTACAGAAAAAACAGTATAAACTGACCAGACCCTCCTTTATTTCTCCCATTGTCCCTAAAGAATGACCAAAGAGCACTCAAATTTCACTGTTGGTAAATTTACAAACAGAAAGAGGAAACACTACCACAAAGTGTAGACTCCTTGTGACAGGGTGTACCAGGTCTTCACAACTCCATACAGGAGGGCCCACTGCTCTGCTGCACCCTGCCCCACCAGGAAACAGTTAGTTGAGAGGAAAAGAGCAGCCATTTTCAAAACCAGTGAGATCTGATCCTCCAGCAGTCAGAAAGGCTTGGGACGAGCAACAGCCAAACAATCAATGGCCAGAAGGCCAAAATAAAAGGAGCTGCCTGCAGCTAGCAAGTCAGTTCCCGGGTAGAGCCAGAGGAGCAATGAGGGACACTCCCTGGGCTGCAGCCAGAGGAACAAGTCCAGGCCGCCTCATTACTACACGCAATCAGTGGCCGATGAAACCCTGCTGATTCAATTCCAGAGCGGGTATTTAACCCAGAAAGGGCCAGAATTTATTTTGCTTATAAACTGGCCCAAAAGAGCTTGGAACAGTTTCTATTTTTGAGTTCATTATGCCCTGGAAGGTGTTTTGGACTATGTGACCTGGCCAGAGGGCTGAGCCACAGAAGACTCACAGAGGCAAGCTGACAGCCTGCAGCAAAGTCAATTCAGAACTCTAAGCAATGCTTCTCTATAGCAGCCTGTGGAATTCATTACACAAGGCAGCAGAATCAAATAATTTAGCAGGAATATCTTTTAAAAAGCTAATGTAGGTTTTATGGATAACATTATGAATATTAACAATATATTTAGCAATGCAACCCAAGACAATACCAAGAGATTGATCAAACTTCCCCCAGAAAAAGCTTGTAAAGGGAGGGAAGAATTCTTTATTCTTCCACTGAAACGGCACTGCACACTCAGACATGTGAATTACGTTCCCTGCTCACACCTCTGTCCCTAGTTGGAATTTGCACAGCCTTTTTCATCAAAGCACTTTGCAAACAGTAATGTATTATTCCTCACAACACTGCATTACCTCCAGCTCTCTGAGGTAGTTTACCGTTGTTTCTTGTCTCATTAGTATCACCAAATCATGAGGATGTTTTAAGTTCATTGGCGAATCTACCTGCAAGACAGTTTAAAATGTAATTGTTTTAATCAGGAGAATGTTACAGCTTTGATAAATGGAGTTTTAAAAACAAAAATTAATGTCATTCAACTAAGGCTCAAACCAGTTTTATGGAGCTGTTGAACTAATTTCAGAAGTTTTTATCTTCAGACATTGACAGTGCATCCATTATTATTCTGTATTACAGTATGTATGCAATATTGTGGCCACCTTTGGGGCTCTGAGTTTGCAATTCAGTTGAGCATTTAATTTCAACCCTATTCAAATATCTTCAGGTGTACAGCTTCCACTAATGATAATGGCAAATGGATGATTAAACCCCTTATTTTATATGAATTTCTAAATCGTCCATTACTGTAGTACCAAGGACCTTAAATAGAGATTGCAGTGATCAGTTTTAAAACATTTCCATCATAAAGTCCCCCTGTAAATATACAACACAAAAGTAAAGTAACCTTAACGTACCCACCTACTTTCAACCCTTTTCAAGAATTTACTTACTCAGACGACTGGAAATAAATGAGCATAACACTGCACCATGAAGCGTCAGATCAAGAGCAAAACACACTCCAGAAGTTAAGGTTCTCAACCAAAACCACCCTGCCTCTGTCTCAATAGATTGTAAGCAGGGACTGGTAGCTCAATATGTAAGGTTACACTGTGAGTAAGTCAAGTCACAGTCCATGACAACGATGTGCAGTAGGAGGCATTCAGCTAGCTGTGAAACTGCATACCAGAGTTGGAATGGTGTGATCCTGTCCCGATGCCAGTTTAGCTCTGCCCCCAGAGTGGAAATGGCAGGGCCACAGAACCCTTCAGCTTCTTTGGACAAGTGTCTCACACTGCTACTGGATCCAGACCCTCTCAGACTTTGCACTCAGAAGTATAAAAACTGGGATTGGAGCTAGCTACTGCACGGGAAGCTCCTTGTGTCCTCCCCTAGCTCTACTTCCCACACCACAGTGGGCCAGCCAATCTGTAATTACTTACACATGCATGGGATTACCAATACATCCTTTTCTATACAAAGGTCACAGAGAATATTAGTTTACTGTGACACTACGCCCCATATTCCTCATAGTGATATGATTATGGCATAATTATGGTGCATTTTGTATAAGATAGGTCATGTTAGGTGTCATTGGAAAAGTTAAGATAGCCAGGTTCAGCAAATCGTTTGTGTGCATGTATCATTTTTGCATCTAAAGTTATGAATATTGACTATGTATCTGTATTTCAAATGTGCTTACTCTGAGTAGCATGCACAGCTAGCCTTTCAGGTACAACAATGAAGAGGCTAGACAGTATTGATGGCCCACCAGCAAAGGCAATGGGCTATGGGAGAGTTTAGCCTTCCCACAGAAGTTTCGGCTGGCCTGTAAGTAATGGCTGCTATGACACAAGAAGGGCAAGTGACCAGACCACATGATACTGAACTCCATTTTGGGTACCTGTGTTTTTCCACAAACTGGGCTGGGAACTGTTTTTGGAACAAACGGTTCCCGCCATATGTTAAAGCTATCTAAAGGGGTTTGTGTGTGTGTGACATCATCTAGGGGCCTCACTTCCCACACAAGAGAATTCCTGGACACGTCTGAGAAACAAAGACTGAATTGGGGGAAGTGCTGGTCCCAGGCTAAAAGGATTTCTAGCCTGTGTATAGAAACCGGATGGACTGCTTGTATCATCAGTAAGGCTACATTTTAGTCACAGCTATTTTTAGTAAAGGTCACGGACAGGTCATGGGCAGAAAATTAAAATTCACAGGCCCATAGTCCATGACTTTTACTAAAAAAAATCCCTGACTAAAATTGGGGCTGGGGTGGGGGAGGAGGAGAGACTCGGGGGGCACCACAGGTGCTGAGGAGGGGAAGTGCCACGGGTGGGGGAGATGGTGGGGCTGGGGCAGGCTCCTTACCCAGCTCCTGGGAAGCAGGGCCTCAGCTTCCTAGAGCGCCACGTGCTGCCTCTGCTCTGCTCCAAGTCCTGGTTCTGCAGCTCCCATTGGCTCGGAACCGTGGCCAATGGGAGCTTCAGGGGTGGTGCCTGGCTGCCGACAGAGGCAACATGTGGAGCTAGGAGAGCTGAGGAAGAGGAGCCCCCCATCCCAGGTAAGCACCGGTCCCAACTCCAAGCCCTGAGCCCCCACCACACCCAAACTCCTGCTGCTGTGGGGCTCCAAGACTGCCCCAGCAGCAGCCAGTGAGACTGACCCGAGGAATGAATGAGCTGCTCAAGTGGCTCCTGGGCCAGCTGCACGGATTATGGAGCCTTAATCATCAGCCTGGGTGAGAAATTGCTTATTCACATCCATTCTATCTAGTATCTTACACTTTGTTTGTAGTTTTGTTTATTTGTTAGGTAATCTGCTTTGATCTGTTTGCTATCACTTAAAGTCTATCTTTTGTAGTTATAAACTTGTTTTTTGCTTTATCTAAACCAGTGTCCCTTTAAATGAAGTGTGTGGGGGGAAAAAAAAATCTCATCATGGTTAACACAGGCTTGTTGCATATCTTTCCCACATCGAGGGGAGAGTGAACTATTTATGAGCTTACGTGGTACAGATCCCTGTGCAGTGCAAGATGATATAATTCTGGGTTTATCCTCCAGCAAGGGGGTACATGTCTGGGGAGCTGGGAAGTTTGCTGGTGTCTGCTGTTAGCGCTCAGGTAGCTCAGTTTGGGTGAGTGGTGTCACCTGGGTGATAACGGGACCTGGTGAGGCTGGCCATAAATCTCCCACAAAGCAGTGTGAGCTGGGCCAGCCCAGCTGGGTTGCTAGAGGGGCACAGTGATGCCCATAGTTCCCAGATTGCATCCTGGGGGTGACAACCCATCACACCTATCACCAATGCCAGCTAACAGCTGCTCCTTTAGCACATATGAAAAAAGTCTGCATTGTGAATTTGAATGTTCCAGGTTTAAACCTTGATGATTATCCATGGGGGGAATGCAATAGAGGGTCCATTATAGAATAGAAAAGGCCTAGAAAATTCCATACCAAGAAAAGTTATTATTGTTAGGGTTACAAAATCAAGTTCAATTGTGACAATCTTTAGTTATGAGATCACATATTGATTCTCCCCCACAGAGCCCTCCTCATTCAGCACACAAGCTAGTATTACATAGTGAATGAGGTGGCTGTCCTTAGGACCTTTACATCATTTTCAGACATTCGAATGTGGGCAAATGAATGAGGGCCGTACTGGCTGCAATCTATTTTAAAGTTTATTCTAGTGCCCAGCATAGTATCCAAGCCTTGTAATATTTTACTGCATTATTCCTTTAAAATGGAAAGAGATTGTTGCTCAGAAGAACTTGAATACCCCTCTCCTCTTCCTCACCCCAATAAAAAACCAAGCAGTAACATCCTTGAGTTTACTCAAGCCCATCTCCACCTCCCAGGAAACTACATCAAGTTTGGTAATGTCACATTTCCCACTCTCCAGCATTTTCACCTTAAGTAACAGAGTCTGTAGTTTACATACAGAGGTAGAGTTTGGTTTTCTGAGGACAATCATTACAGATACTCTACATCAGTATAAATAATGAGGAATATGATCAAATACGTTTGTTGACCTTTTTTTAAGAATGGTGTAGAACCTGAATTGAGCAAACCATGAAACTGAACAGTTTTTTCCGAAAAAGACTGACTTTCTCCTCTGAAATTTGATACCTTAGGTTTCATATTCAAGTGTTTCATATATTCAAAGCTTCCCATTTCAGAAGAGTCAGAGATGGCATTTACCCTAGCATGATCTGACAAATTAAGGAGTCTCCATGTTGTAGTACAATTGCTACGAAGGATTGATGTCTACTGAAGAATCTGAATGCAGATGATCTCTACGTAGTATAGGTTTGTGATGAAACTCCAGATCCAACATACTCAAAGTGTTCCTCTTTGGCAGCTGTCAAGGTTCCTCCCCCACTCTGAACTCTAGGGTACAGATGTGGGGACCTGCATGAAAAAACCTCCTAAGCTTATCTTTACCAGCTTAGGTCAAAACTTCCCCAAGGTACAAAATATTCCCCCCGTTGTCCTTGGACTGGCCGCTACCACCACCAAACTAATACTGGTTACTGGGGAAGAGCTGTTTGGACGCGTCTTTCCCCCCAAAATACTTCCCAAAACCCAAAACCCTGTAGTCACCAATTTGCCTAGGTGACTACAGACCCAGACCCTTGGATCTTAAGAACAATGAACAATCCTCCCAACACTTGCACCCCCCCCTTTCCTGGGAAATGTTGGATAAAAAGCCTCACCAATTTGCATAGGTGACCACAGACCCAAACCCTTGGATCTGAGAACAATGAAAAAGCATTCAGTTTTTTACAAGAAGACTTTTAATAAAAAATAGAAGTAAATAGAAATAAAGAAATCCCCCCTGTAAAATCAGGATGGTAGATATCTTACAGGGTAATTAGATTCAGAAACATAGAGAACCCCTCTAGGCAAAACCTTAAGTTACAAAAAAGATACACAGACAGAAATAGTTATTCTATTCAGCACAATGCTTTTCTCAGCCATTTAAAGAAATCATAATCTAACACATACCTAGCTAGATTACTTACTAAAAGTTCTAAGACTCCATTCCTGGTCTATCCCCGGCCAAGATGACTACAGACAGACACAGACCCTTTGTTTCTCTCCCTCCTCCCAGCTTTTGAAAGTATCTTGTCTCCTCATTGGTCATTTTGGTCAGGTGCCAGCGAGGTTACCTTTAGCTTCTTAACCCTTTACAGGTGAGAGGAGCTTTCCCCTGGCCAGGAGGGATTTCAAAGGGGTTTACCCTTCCCTTTATATTTATGACAGCAGCCTACAGAAGTTCTTTGATTATGGCATATTAACCTCTCTGTACTTCAGTTTACCTATTTGCAAAATGGAGGTATACCAGGACTTCCCCATCCTTTGCCAACAGCATTGAAATCCACAGAAGAAGCGTGCCATATCACATTAAACAAAGCAGTGTTAACTGAACAATTACCAACAAGATGTTT